GGGCAATTGTTGACCCTGTCGATGTCTCTAAGGAAAGGGGCCCAGGGCCCCGGGGCAGATACCCACCGCTCCCCTTTCTCCAGGCTAACAAAAGCTACCGAGTAGTCCTGTGCTAGGCACTTTGTGTGGGATAGGAGCTATTGTCAGTTCATGGAGGAGAAAAGTGGGATGTAGAGACCCGAGGTCAGGCAGGAGCAAGCGGAGAAGGTCCGCGTTAATCAGGATGGGCCATGCTGTGTCACGGTAACAAGCAGCTCCACACTCTCATGAACTGAACACAACAAAGATTCATTTCCCCCTCAAACTCCATGTTCATCATGGCTTCGCGGAGTCATCCAGGGACCCAGGCAGAGAGGGACCCACTTTATGAAGCCTCACCATCTGGAATAAATGAGCTCCTGTGGCCAGGCAGGCAGAGGAAGAACTGGAGGGTCTCACACTAGCGATTAAGAGCTTTGGTCTGGAAGTGACAAGTCACTTCTGTTTATAGCACACTGGCCCAAACTAGTCAGGTTGGCCTTGTCCAACAGCCAGGGGGCTCGGAGAGACCCAACGTTAGCGGGCATTGGCCATGTCCAACCTTGTGCAAACTCACTTGAGAGCCCATGCTTTGAGTCACCATGCTGTCCTGCCTCATGAAACCCCACGTCCTCGAGGCGCGCCCCCCCCACCCCAGCTCAGTGCCCTGCGTGCACGGGGCTGCTGGCTTTCCTCTCCTTCTCGCCATCCACATCCCTCCAGCACACACAGAGCCACTGTATGCCAGGTGGTTAGGATCCTAAAATACGTGATACATGATCTCTGTGTTCAAGCGCCCTTATTTTAAGAGGATAGTGCTAATGTGTCCTACGCATAACCCTGCCCTCGGAGCAGACAGCTGGAAATGAGATCAGCCCCCTGCAGCTCACCTGTCCCGGGACTTCCCGGGAGGGAGCGAAGGTGAATCAATAATGAGTCAGGCAGGGCTTCCTAGAGGAGAGGGCCTTTGAGCTGGGCCCTAAAGATGAGTACAATCTGGAAATGAGGAGGCAAAAGGACAGGCGCATTCCAGGCAGAGAAGGAGACCTGAGGCCTCAGCACAGAGGCGGGCGGAGCGGTGGGGCATGCCCCCAGGGCAGCACTCCATCTAATGGCAAAAACACTGGGGGAGTGACGGGGAGAGTTGCATGAGCCCGTCCTCTGGGAAGATGGTCTGGATGGAGATCAGTGGGGACCTGAACTTCAGACTTTGGTGAGGAAGGACAGACAGGAGGCTGTCTGTGCCTCGGGCTAGAGGACTTCACAAGGAGGGAGTGGCTTTTCAGACTCTGCCGAGCTTGGTGATTACCACTTGTCCTCAAGCTGGGGGTGACTAAAGAGAGCGGCTGGGGCCCCCCGTCACAGGCAGAGGCCTAAAACATGGGACAAGCTCCTGTGGTGCCTTTGTGTCAGGAGCAGAGTGGTGCCCTCTACAGCGCACAGGCTTGTCCCCAAGAGCCTGCTGGCCCCGTGCTGGGCTCTGGGGATGCAGAGAGGAAGCAGGTGCCTCCCACTCGGACCCACCGCGCACGACTCGGCCTAACGGACTCACCTGGGTCTCCATGTTTGCACACCTGCTTCTTCTCTGTTTTTTTGCTTACTCTATTCTGTTTGCTTCTGGCCCCCAACTATCATGCCAGGTTTTACCTGCCCCAGTTCAACTTACCTGGCTGCAGCCCCCAGGTCCACCTGCACCTGGGCCTCTCATTCCTGCCCACGTGGGACTAGCCTCAAGCCACCGACAGGCTCCTGGTCCTGGACACGGCGTCTCCCCACGGCTCCCACTGCACCAGCCCCTCCGTCAGCGGGGCCTCTGACTGTGACCTCCGACCTTCTTGGAAATGGGTTGCATTACCTCTAAAGCATTTTTCAGCTCTCCCATCCCTACCTCTGTCTCTGATCGTGTCCTGTGTCCCTTGCACACAGAATGCCTACCGTGGACCAGCTTTGGTTTGCGTGGCTGTTACGTGGATGATGCAAACAATAAAGCCTTTCATCTCTCTGATGATTTATAGCTTTCAAAAAACATGATCTGAAAACAGCCGTTTTTCCCCCAGTGATCCTCAAACGCTCCTGTCAAATGACCAAAGTGAAGTCCTTGCGAAGGCCACTACACTCCAGGATTTCAAATTTCTCAGCGGGATGGCCCATGCGGGCCTCCACAGCACCTGCTCACATCTCCTCACTCTGAACAAGAAGGCCACAGGTTTGGGAACTTCGCTGCTGACCCAAACCTCTGCATCTTAATAAATGCAACCCATCTGGCTCCCACCCTCTCCCAGTTCCTTCGGGATCCGGACCCCGGGGTCAGTCGCCCCCTTTCCTGTCCCATAATCGGATTTGGCACCAAACTTTAGGGTGCGGTGACCTCCCGCTGTTTGCCCCCCTCCCCCCCCCACAGCTGCCAGCTTCCCTGGCCGCAGGGCCCTGCGACAGCCACAAATATAAGTAACCACCTGGAGGACACAAATAGATCCTCTCTGCAATCTCAACCCAAAAATCTCTCTTTTCCCCAAATTTGACCATTTCACCCCAAATCAGGCAAGCTTTTAAGTAACAAGAGCTGCTCATGCCTTAAATAACACAAAACATGGTGCTTTTTAAAACATTTATATTTATATATATAAAAAAATTAAATATATATAATATATAGTGTGTTTGAGACTAAAAATATAGTACATAATATTTAAAAAAAAGGAAAATGAAAACAGGCAGAATAGGAAAAGGCGTGAGGACACACAGACACACATTGCTAAAAACCTACGATGGTCTGTCCTAACAAAAATAATATTTTTTTCTCTTCTCTTGTCATCATGGATCCATTTATTATTGGGGTTTGGGGGGAGAAAACTCAACTGGAGCCCGAAGTAGAGGCTGTGACCCCGAGGGTGGTCGGGGTGGAGAGCGTGACCTTCGGGGCCCCAGGGCTCCTCTGGGTGGACTTGGTGCAGCCAGGCCTCCGGGCGGCGCTCGGCTGCGCTCTCCCCAGTGGCGGGTATTCCCGGGGCAGCGTCTGATCTCCAGAAACAGGTAGAAGGCCCCACAGCCCACCGACCCTCGAAAAGGCCCATGGTTGTGGCCAGCGAAAAGCCAGGAGCAGGGGCGGGAGGCTGGCGGGAACGTGGTAGTTCTATGCAAACGGAGCTACTATTATTATTATTATTACTGTTATTATTTTTAAGGGCAGGCTTGTACCAGAGCCGCCCATATGGCCTGTGACTTCTGCACAGCAATGCTTTCTCCAGGGACGGGACCTGGAGCTCCCTCACAGTGATGCAAGAAAATGGGAACCTCCCCCAACCCCCCCATTCTGGAGGGCAGGGGAAGGCAGGGACAAGGGAGGGGGATACTTAAATGCGAGTTTTATAGCCTCTTCACAAAAACAGATGCCTTTCCAAATTACATCCCTCGGTCTATGGAGTGTCCCGTGACCATCTCCTCACTGGTCCCACCAGTCAGGGCCTTCACTAACACCTTTCAGGTGATTCCCTAACAAGAGGCTCAAGGCGGGGACCGGCCGGGGACACACAGCACTAGAGGGGTAGAGAAGCCTCGGTTTCCACGGCCGGGCAGGGCGCTCAGTCCTGGAATGCGGCCCTCAAAGTGATGGGCCTGCAGATGGGGGGTCAAGCTGACCTCTTCCACCCCAGGCATGGCGTTCGGGGGAGCACTGCTCCATCCCTGCTGGCTCCCCTTCCTGACCTCACAAGGGCTCTGGGGCTGGGCTTAGAGGGATCCAGGATTCAGGATGCAGTCTGAGCCCCACCGCGAGGGGAGAGACTGCAGCTCACCCACAATCACCAGGGCCTCTTCGAGATCCAGAGTTTATGTCAAAACTGCTCTACCCTCTTCCCTCTACTGCTTCACAGAGGGGTCAGCCATGCTCACAGCGCACCACCTGGCTCGGGAGACCCTGGCCGGCAGGTTCACCTCCTCAGTGAGAGGGCTGCGCCGTCCCTGGGCTCCTAAGGACGGCGTGGACGGTGGCTACTCCCAGCTTCCCCTCGGTCAAAGTTGCCCGAAGCCAGGGCGCCAGTGGTGGAGTCTCCCTGCCCCACCCCGGCCACAGACGCCTTTGCCACACCGGCAAAATTGAGTGGGCTCCCAATGTGAGCGACCATTCCCAATCGTCAGAGGATAAGCGCACACCAATCTCACCCAGGCTCAGGGTATGCTTTGTCGCCGTTTGGCATCCAGGGGACCCTAGTGGAAACTTACTCGCAACACTTCCAGCAAGAGGCCCACAGTGAAAGCTTTTTTCAAGGGAGTAGAACCTTCCACCACCCCCATCCCTTCCCTGCTCACGTCCTGTTCCCAGCTCCTCACCAGGGGTGGCTGGGCCCTCCACCTCACCGAATGAATACAGCAAGAGCAGAATAATTCTAGGGTTGTGCAACCCTCCCCCTATTTTTAAGGCCAGAAAATCGGGGGCAGTAAACGTAAAGAGGTTAGGCCAAGGTCACTTCACCCCATCCTGAAGCTGGGGTCCCCGATCTCCTGACCCTTAGCGCCTTGCTCTTCTCACTAAGATGAGAATATCAAAGGTGATCAGGATCACCAAGGTGACCATATCAAGTACTCTCGGCACCCTGCTGGAGGGCCCCAGCCTCCAACGGCAAAGCTCTACTACGTTCAAGGGCGCCTTCCACTCCCCAGAAAAGCAATTCCGTTTGGCCCAACAGGCAGGCCCCAGTTCCAATTGTGATCAGACGAACAGCGTGCAAATTGCAGAGGGCAGAGAGGGCCTGGGGCGCTGCTGTCTCTCTGTGCCTGGCACTGTGCACGCTCCATACCCAGGAGGGGCCGGTTACTGGGTTAAAGAGCAGAGAGCAGAGAAGGAGCTCTGGTCACAGGCTTCTGAAAACTAATGGTCCCTGTAGTGTCAGCTGAGTTAGCTAGTGACCCTGGGCCCCTCCTCTTCATCATTTCAACAGAATGGACCCAGCACTAATAAAAGGGAGGAAACAGAATGTGGCCAAACCCCAAATACAAATGAATATTTTTTGGAATATTCCTGTTTAAAGAGCCATCACCATCTTTAGACTTTAACTGTTTGGATTACACATGGCTTCTGTTTCTGCGAAGATAATCAGAATATGCGTGAATTCATCTGCACAGGAACCTGCATCCTTACCAGACCTTCTCCCAGGGCTCACATAAAATGACTCTGTAGGGAGGGGTCAGCTCCCAGGGGTAGGGGTGGAATGCAGCTGGAGCCGGGACGATGCCCCCCCACCCCCAAGAGACACCCAGGATTTGCCCCTGTTGCTGCAGAAGGGGAGAGGCAGCCTGCCAGGCTGGAACTGAGCTACTTTCTCCCTGGGCATTAGCTGGTCCTTACGAGCGGGGACAGTGAGGAATGTCACCCCACAGACCCATCCGCAAGGGTGGTGATGGCCCGTGGCTGATGAGCATGTAACTCATTAAAGCAAACATGACTAATGAGTGGTGACCAGGAGAGAGGGCAAAGCGCGTTCTGGGGATTGCCCCCAAGGCCCCGCCCGTCGGGAGAAGAGGAGGCCGGGGCGGGGGCACAGTTCTCTTTGGTCAGAGGCGGCGGCTGAGAATGACCATGTGGAATGTGTGTGTGGGGACAGCATGGGCGTGACTGCCTGCAGTGCCCTCCCGTGCCACCTTCCTCCCTCTCCGGGCCCCTCACCCGCCGTCCCGGAAACTCTGCAACACCTGACGCCGTGTCTGGGGCTTGCAATACCCATCCCCCGTGGCCCCCCACACAGGGCCGGTCAACCAAAGCTGGGCACTCAAGGCACTGAAAGTGGAAGAAGGAATCTGATTGGTCCAAGAAAAAAAAGACACTTAACAAACCAAAACCTGTCTGCAGAGACTATCACCCATGCCCCCGGAAGGTGGCCTCCCCGACCAGCTGGTGGGCAGGACAAGCAGTCTTGAGAGCCAGGCCCCCTCCCTAAGCCTGTCAGAGCCCATCGGGGACAGGTCTTTCCACCTGAATGTTTAAAAATGGATTCAAAGTGCTTGGAAATTCAGAGTAATGGACGGTGCTAGGAATCTGGAGGAGAGCAGGTGGCCCCTTGCCTTCCCACTGGGACTTGGGGCGGGGGATTCCCTACAGCTTTTTTTTTTTTCTCCCCAAATGAGGTTTTCATTGTTTTTTGTTGTCTTTGAAAAATAGCCTATAGCATCCGACCCTCACACCACCACTCCCCAGATAGGCTCAAGAGTTAAAGCCAGGATACAGGGCAGGCTGGGGAGGGAAGGGGCTCCTCTAGAGGGGGTTCTGGAAACCGCTTTGAAGCACACAGCCTTCCTGCTGGTGAGTCAGGACATGGTTCCCCCACCGTTCCTTTCTGCATGGGGACCCCGTGATCTAACTGGCTGGCCCTGCACAGAGGAGAGAGAAAGGGGCTACTGGACAAATCTGGATCCTCTGCTGACAGACAGGTGTCCACGATGAGCAGCCAGGACAGCTGGCCCTTTAATCCCAGCTGAACGAGGGCCGGATCTGAACTCAGTGCCAGGGCTGTTCTGTGGACAGCTAAAATCAATCCAAGGTCCCGTCTGCAGTCGCGGAAGGGAAGATGCTGCCGGGGTATGAATGCAGAGGACAGAGGGGCTGGCCAGGCAAACGTGTTTCCACATATCTGTGCCTGGGCCACCCCCACCCCCCACTGCGTGTCCCCCTAGGCCAACGCCTGCTCATCGTCACACATCCCTGTCCACTTAGGGGAGACCAAAGGGGTGGGGCAGAATGGGAATGCTAAAAAGTGCCCCCTCTGCTCTGCACAACCTTCGCTTCCCTGTCCCCGTGCTGGGGCCAGGCGAGAGCACAGGTCAGAAGAGACACGTCCTCCCGAAGAAGAGGGAAGGGCAGGCCCAGGAGGCTGGGGCATGCACAGAGCACCATCCTCGGGACGGGGTGTTTCCGGGAGACCTGCTCCCCACCTGCCGCAGTGGCCGCGGCGGCGGCAGAGGAAGGCTGGTCCGGGCCGGGAGCGACGCGCAACGCCCCTGAATATCAGGGAACGGCTGTGAGAGCCTCGTCCTCTGCCCCGCAGAGGCGCCCCGGCCGGGCGCCGGGCCTACACGTGAGTCTGCATGCGCTGCTGGAACCGCGGCCCGTAGTCCGAGTGCTGCGAGGTGTAGGAGAAGCGGGTGGCCGTGGCGTACTTGCCGATCGGGTCGTACGCCTCGAACGGGGTCCGCTCCAGGCCGGACGGCGGCGCCTGGGGGTAGCCCAGTCGGTAGGTGGGGTAGCCCGCCGCCGCGGGGAAGGGGTGCGGGTTGAACTTGTCGTAGTTCTCATAGGACAACGTGCCGGCCGAGTCGGCGCCGGCGGGGG